GATGGTCTGCTGAAGACTCATCAAAATTAGCAGGAGAAAGAAAGAAGTCATCACGGAAGTTCGCCCCATTTGCAAGGTCTGGCAACCCTGGAGTTGGAAAGTTGCGCTGGATGGTGGCAGAGGTTTTCTTCTTGACAACATCAGCCATAGCAACATGCTCGAGTGGTGCATCAAAACACCCAAGGTCAACATCTGAGGTCAAAAAATCCGCGGGTTCGTCTTCTGCTGGGAGCCAGTCCTGGCCACCAAGATCTGTGCCGAAGGGGTCGGGTTCTGGTACGACTTTAGAGCTATTCCTGGACCGAGAGCCGAGTTCATCAAATACTCCCGGCTCACCAAGAGGGAGAGCGAAAGGGTCATTGCCGTCTTCGTCGGAAAATAGGTCGAAAAATTCAGTGTTGGTTTTTGCGGTACTCGGGTTGTGTGCCTCTGCTCTTTTACAGTAGCTGTGCTGAGCAGACTGTAGCAAGTCATCAGAGTTGAAGTCGGTATTTTTGGAGTGATGTCCAGCGTCCTCCCGTTCTCGACCCTCTGATAGTTTCGGTCTTTTCGCGGCAGGTTCTTCGATATGCTTCCTGTCGCTGGATGACAGAATGTCCCCAGGACTTCGGCTTCTGGAACACAGTGCATCCTTGGAAATGCTTGTCCCATTTTGTTCTCGCCTGTTTTCCAGATCTGGGGAGGCCATATCTGCCGAGTGCGTGCGATATAGGCTCGCTTGCTTGTTTTTCGGCTTCATCACCGCAGTGATCTTCTTTTGGACCTTCTCTTCTTCTTTGAGTTTGGGTTCGAATTTGGGCCTACGCCTAGGCTTTGCCACTCCCTCTTTACAGCATCGGTGTTTGCATTTCTTGTCCCGTTCATTGCAATCATGCTGGCAAGTCCAGCGCCCGCTTGGCAGTTGTACAGGCTCTCGAAAGGCAGCAACATCGGAATCTTCTGCGCGTTCTGGATTTGTGTCTCGACGTTGCTGCGGAACTTCCTCCCGTGACTTGCCCCGCCTCTTCTCCGTTTCTTTGTCGACAAGATCATCGATATCCTCGATCATTTCAATTCTGGCCTCATCAACTTCGAGAGCAAGCAGATCTTGGTCGTTGACTCCACCATCGTCGAATTCCTCGTTCCAGCACCTAGATATCCCAACGTGGCCCTCATTCTCTTCTGGCTGCACATTCCCCTGGGCTCGCGACTTGCGATACACTGAGGTCGGAATATTCGATAGGTTTAGTTGGGCGTACCTGCTGGTACCTGCAATGCTGTCACACATTACATGGCAGTTGACATGGCTAGTCGGCCTCGTGAGGTGTAAACTCAAGACCACATGCTCGTCATTCTCAAGCTTTCTTGGGCTAAACCTCCTGAAGTCCACAAGAGTTCCATGAGATGTCTCGGCTAAAAAGCAGACAGAGAACATCTTCTTGTTGAAAGTCCGGGGCAACTGCTTGTTCAGAAATCCGAGTTCTGCTATCATTGTGATCCTGACACCGTCACCAACTTTAAGTTCTCGAGCGGTCTCCTTGACCGATACTCTCAGGTTGGGAAATGACTCCAGCTTTTGCAGCAGTTGGTGTCCAAAAGGAGGGTTCTTCCGGAGGACAACTTCGATGCGAGAGGGTTCTGTGTTGAGAAGCGTGTCGATGCTGTTGATCGATGCCGATGCCAATTTTCGAACAGCAACTTCACCCAGACCTTCAACCTGTCTTAACTGGCTGGCGGTATTGTCCCAAACGCGTGCCGCAATGCTGCGTCCTAATTCGAGTGCGTTACGAGTCGAAATTCCGTCCTCCAAATGAATTTGACAGTCAATTATACAGCGGATCAGGCGATTTGCGTGAGCAAAGACGGGTATCTTATCGATTCGGCTTTGTTGAAGATGTCTTTTATAGTTTTCACCGTCAGGTAACGCTGCGCAACCCAGTTCGGACTGGATTAGCAGCGTGATCTTGTGGGCCGGAAGAGCAATATCGACCTTGACTGGGAACTTGATTTCTGGAGCTTTGTTGACTTCTTTGTAAAATGATTTCTCCCCAGCTAACATTCGTACTTCGCGGAATTCTTTTGCTTGAGCCAAAACCGAGAGCTGTCACGACCGGTCAGTCAAACCCTCACCATGGGAATGCCACGTACGATTTCCGACATCCTCGCCTTGGGAGGTAATTGCATAAATGACTTCATTGTGTCAAAACGGACGTAATACCTTGCCATTGCCTCACCGAAAACTGTTGAGGTCAATCGAGTATTTTGTGCCACGAGCCCCGCGTCCAGAAGCATCGCGGTATCATTCTTGCACAATTGCTCGAGCAATTCATCCCTTGTACTTTCCTTGACCCCTTCTCGAAATTGGTAGTGTGAGGGATTCTTTTCCAGACGGACGTAAAAGAAGGTGCTCTCCAGCCATTGCTTTGCTGTTGTAACGTCGTGCACTGTTCCGAGGACAAGTTCTGCGTTGAGGTGCTCGATAAGATTTTGATGAAGACAACTCTCCAACATCTCTTCACCTGAAACCATCTTTTCGTAGTGCGCAACTTTATCCTTCCGAGTAAGGATAACTGCACATGCTGAAGTTTCGAACTGCGGCCTTCCTGCTCTACCAAGCATCTGCATGACCTCCAGATCTGCATATTCTTTTAAGCCATTGTCAGTCCACACTTTTGTTCCTTTCAGAATGACGAGATAGCACGGCAAATTCACGCCCACAGCCAACGTGGAAGTGCTACATATGACGTTGATCTCCCCTTCCAAAAATGCATTCTCGATAATGTGCCGATCTGCTGCACTCACACCGCCGTGATGGAATGCTACACCTGCGGCGGACGTAGCTATTGAGATATAATTAGCACGTGACAAGTTGTGAAAAGTAGTGCGATCAGGAGTATACCTTTGAGATCGGGATTCATCAAGCAGAGCTGCTTTCGGGGCCCCTTCCAAAGACGCTGTAGAGGATGTGCAGTTGACCACATTTCCGCCAACACCTTGGCCGTTGTGACTGAAGCCCGCCGAGTAGAGCAAAAGACCATGACGGGTTTGGCCCGTCCATGCTTTGCAATGATGTCTGGTATCCTGGTTGATATCAGTATGCATTCCACGTTCATAGGACTTTCCTACTGGTTTGTCAACATCGACTCGAAAGCGAAATCATTGCCTTTCGCCTCAAATCCGTAAACATGCTTTTTGAGCTCGACAGGTCGAAAACTCTCTCCGAAGACCTCTCTGCGCGCAGGTAAGTGTTGCGACATCGAGTCTTTTCCTAACCAGATTGCCACGTCCTCCGAATTTGGCACAGTGGCCGACAATGCCACCACTCTGATATCGGATTTCAGGGACTTCATCCTCGACACGACAGCCTCTAGGGTAGCGCCGCGCTCATCCTTGAGTATGTGTACCTCATCGACAAGAAAGAGTTTGACAAGCTGCATCAGTTTAGTGTGATCCCTCCATTTTCTAGTCACGCTGTCCCATTTCTCTGGAGTGGTGATGATAATGTTTGCCTTCTGTGCATGGGCCAAGTCATTAGGGTCACTATCACCAGTAAGTTCAGCACATTGCAAACCCAGAGCATCGAACTTGTGTTGCCAATCACGATATCTTTCTGAACACAATGACTTGGTAGGGCCCTGGTATACAACTTTGAAATCTCGACCTTTGGATTGTACTACCAGCCTGCAGATAGCCAGCTCCATGATAGCAGTCTTTCCACTCCCAGTCGGGGCTGACACGACAATGTTGTCATCTGACTGGAAGGTACTTTCGAAACATTTTGACTGGATAGCGTTGAAAATCTCAAACTTGAATACCGAACGAACTCGGTCTGGTAGTGCTGTCGTCGGGACCAACTGAATCCCTTGGATAATAGGCGGTGCTGAGGTAGGTTTGTGCCCCAGCAATGATCTCTGGCTGGCTCTCGTGTTTTCAGAAGTCATGTTTGAGGAGGCCCCGGCCTCCTCAGATGGAAAGTCATATGCTCTCGAGCTGTACATCTTACTTGACAGGGTTTCGTTCGTTCTGTCACGTTGACGGTTCTGGAGGAAAGACACTGTGGGACTGCTGGAAGGGGCGGTGGGCGAGGAGCTGGACCTTTGGAGGTCAGACTTGTCATGCAAGTCATCTAGATCTGTCATGAGAGCCTAGCTATTGGTTGCCAACTATGTCTCACCTTGTAAAAATCTCCTTGTACTGCTGGTCATTAACGGCGTGAGAGGTTTGTGAACAAGAGTGACTCGGGGTACGCTCGGTCCTGTGGCTGGTCCTGGGAGTTGTGAGCTCTCCTGGAGCAGAGCTCTGTCTGAGTAGGTTTCAGTGTCTTGATGGACAAGGCGACGGGTATCTGACTTACCAAAGTCGTCAAGTGGTCTGTCAAGTTCAGGAGGCGAGCATGGGTCGAACAAAGCAGCCTCGAGATGGCCGGGTGGGGCAAAATAAGGCGATTGTCGCTGCGTGACACTGTGAGAGGCATTTGGATAGGATCCAGATTCAGGAATCCGTGCCGTGCTGGGATCACGGATGGAGGCGGATGGGGCATCTCGTCGACGGCCAGCAGGAAGGCGTCTGACGTTTTCCATGACACGAATCGAGGCAAGTGTTCCATAAAAAGAGGGTGCAACGGATGGAGAGAAGACTTGGGTGACTGTATGACAGAGGCATCAAAGTGAAAGATATTTTCAAACAGACTGGAAGGACGATGCAGGCAGGCGACATGCAGGTCAAAGTCTCAATGGGCAGGTGCGATGGACAGCCAAACAAGAACACGTGACCGTGCCCCTTTTTTCTTTCTGTTTTCCTCTCTGCAAGTAGCCTTCCTCCTCCAAACACGTCCTGCAGTGAAGTGATCACTTACTCCTCAGTGCTGCGAGCCCCCGTCTGCTCGTTGGCACCAGATTGTCTGGCTAGTATGTCATCGCTGATCGTGTAGCAGTATTCATCCCTCCTCCGAGGGGGGTATATCCAAGGTCTATCCTTTCATATCCAATCATAAGTATCTGATCCAGCGACCGAGTCCCGAATCAGTCACGATGCTTCGCAAAATAGCCCAGAGGTTCTTTATTCCTCTTTTTGTGGCTTGGTGAGCCCGGTCTTGAAGTCGCCAGGGCTGTTTCTTCTTGAATCAAAGGGGTTTTGGGGATCTGAATAGACATATCGTTTAATGCCGCAGTACCATTGAGCGACATTTTCTCATGCCCATTGACTACAACCGCGGGGCTTTGAGGTAGCCGGGCCTCTTCGGTATTATAGACCCAGGTAGCAATGAGTACTATCGAGGCTCCGATCAAGAACTGGAAGTTGTTAGCTGTGGTGAACAGACCAAACAAATCATAATGGCATACATGTCCGGTCATGGCGAAATCAAAGAACATGAAGCTCGCCAGGCTGCTAAGGACCATGCTGATGCTAACAGCAAAGTTCTTTGAGATATTGTCGGCATAAAAGATGCAGAACGCCGCAACGATGCCGCCAAAGGATTGAATGACAATTGATGCAGCCACCACCCAGTTGTAACCCGCGAAAAAGCCATATTTTGCCACTGTTTCGCCATCAAGGAAAACGATTCCGATAAAGAAGGCCGGAAAAAGGGAATATATCGACAGTTGCACATTTCGGATCCAGAGCGATGTGTTTTTGGGCGATTCCTTGATGACCTTTTCAAAGTACACTCCGGCAAGCCCTGAACATATGCAAACACCGAGAACCGCAAACAGTCCGACAGAGGCATCCATCCCGGGAGTGTCCAAGGCGAGCTCGTCTTCTTCTATGCCCTCGTACGTTGCTGATCTCTTTTTGAGGTGGGAACCAGGTTCTGCCATCCGAAAGTGCTCTCGCAAAGGATTGGACGACCGTGGAAGGTAGATCCTCGTATGGTGGCTTGAGGCCAACGACCCTGACGAGCCGTGAGGAAGGGAGACAATTGCAACTCCCAGCATAAGCAGGATCAAGGACAGCCACTGTCTTCCCGAAATCGTCCTCTGCAGAAGCAAGACGCTGAACACGGCGGTCACAAAGATCTTGAATTGGTACGTGACATGGAAGGTCGCGGCGTCCAGATTAGATATTGCAACGTATTGCAGGCTGTTCGCCAGCGTGTAAAGCCCGGCCGGAAAGGCCATTTTCCAACTGTCGCCGGTGAAAACGGCGCTACCTAGTGTCCCGAGGAGCGAGGTTGCTGGCATTGATCGGGGGACGGAGAGGGAGACTTCGTAGAGCGATATCGTCAGGCATACAGCCAGTTTCAAGGCTTCAACGAGAAAGACGGCCGTCGAAGGAAGATAGCGATGTCCGTCGATAGTAGGCATAACCCGGGAATAATGGAGGAGCTGTGCGAGACCAGTCAGTTCAATGTGTACAGGACGCAGAAAGATCCCTTCCGACTCACTAAAATGAAGGTGGAAAATTGGACTGTCAACTGTACAAATAATCAGTCAGTCTGTGAATGCATGGAGGATTCATGCAGGGCTCCTCTTACTGTGCCCAAAGACAGACTGCGGAGTGACACTCCCATGAATTTGGACGCGTTGCCGCGCCTTTCCACGCCCATTGCTCGAGGTGGTGTTTGACGAAAAACCTTCCAAGTGTACAAATATTCGATAATGCAATGCCGCTGTGTCTAGCCAAACGGGTCTGCGCCAGGCAGATCAACCACTCTCATGTGGTAGGGAAGAGAAGGGGGGCGTCAAAGGAGTGGACAGGATCTCGGTGCAAGAGGCAGTATATGATTCTGGCACGTCGAACCAGTGGCGGAGATCGAGCAATGAGGTGAAGATGACCCAAAGGTCATCAGACACGCGAGCAACACAAAATGAGTGAACGAGACCTGTGGCAGCAGACCAAAAACGATAGGGGAGGAAAACCTTGGGTAAAGGGTGGAATGGTCGCTTGCCGCGTTGATTGGTGCCTCCCCAGCCAGCGGAACTTCTACAAGTCAATGGCTCTGCCATGCCCTGCGTCATGGCCTTCCTCGCCTCCTGCGCCTTTCCAACTTATTAATCTTGGCATCCCAGTCCCTGGTGTGGCGGTGAAAGATCACATCAGGTGGTCGCTATGCTAGTCCTGTCAATGCTATGTAGACTGATCATGACGAAGATGCCCTCAGCAAGTACTGAAAGTCCGCAGCGACATCTCTCAGGCACGGAAAGACAAGCATCCATTAACTATAAACTCCCTGCGCATCCCGGGCTCTATAAACTGCCCAGCCTCTTACTGTACATTGATCCACCATGGACATATCCTCCTTCGTCATCATAAAAGCCAGAGCCATGACTATTGTACACAAGCGATCCACCGCTCTCTCAAAACGTCGTCACTGTCCTTCCTACTAGGTACCCGTGATCCCACAAAGGAAAAGACAAACGAGACGCAGCTGGGCTCTTGAACGTCAAAGATACAGCCCTAATGCGCTGCTGCAGCAAGTTTCATCCAACCATTATAAGGAAAATCAATGAAGTCTTGAGAAGAGACCTCTTCTCGTTTTGGTGCCGCCTGTAGCTTCTCCAGTGTGGCTAGATAGTGGCTCTCCCGTCGACTTCGTGAGTTGTCCCTCGAACTGTTGCTCGACGTCGAAAAAAAGGTCGAACGGCTCATCCTACTGACTGCACCATTCGATGGCGCAAGTAGGGTAGGCGACAACATAGCCATCGAGGACGGCGCTTCGGTCTCTGGCTCGATGGAAGTGCCGGTCTGAAAGCTGGCGAGTGAGTATCGCCCGCTAGGTTCTGTCGACAGCCCTGTTTGGAAAGTCGTGCAAGAGGCCTGGTCAAAGTTGGCATCTGTATGTGGAGATCTCGACTGCTCCTGTGTCCTCCCATGTAAAGTTAGCTGGACCTCCAACGCTGCGGAGATCCGCGGAGGGGGTTGATGCTTCGTCGATTTGGTCTCCGTCTCTCGCAGTGCCTGTATCCTTTGGTCTGCTACACCACCGTTGGATGGTCGGCGAAGGACTGTTTTCCTCAAACGGATAGCAGCCAAAAGAGATTCTTCTTGTCGGGTAACGCTCATCATTCTCCTGCTTTCAATGCTTGCGGTGTCGGACAAACAAGATTCGTGGAAGGATGGGCGGTGCGAGGATGCTTGGTCCGTGGGGATGGCAGGGAACGAAGTAAGCAAGTCGTCGTCTTCTGGCGGAGGATTGGCAGATTGGTCGCTAAGATAAGTTGATCGATGGCTTCGTCGCTGGTTGGGAGGCTTCGATAATGATGATGCAGAGCCCCGAAGATGACTGCCATGAACACGCCGCAGATTCGGCGTCGCCCTCGATCTTACAGTTGCACTTTGTTTTGTACTAACTGCTTTAGCCGTCCCTACCTCAATTTCTGAATCCGCCAGTGATTCCACAGCTATGCTGTCCCGCAGCAGCGGAAGAGGAACGCTCCCAGATACTCTGCGATTTGGCAATGGCTGTGGCTTGTCATCACCTTCATCATCAGAAGAGGACAAGTCGAGGATGCTGGTTTTGTGGAGATCGGTAGACGCTAGGGACGATGCTTTTGGTTTTGATGAGGTTTGCTGTGACTCAGCCCAGGAAAGGGTAGATCTTGACGATTTGGCATTGAGGATTGAGACGCGGGAGGGGATCGTTGAACAAGGGAGCAAGTGACTGGATGGTGCTTTCGAACTTGCAGCTCGACTAATTGTTTCCGGTGTTTGTGTCCGGACGCTAGATGCCTCATTTGTCAAAACACCGATCCTACGTCCTTCGAATGCCATTTCCATTCCTGCAACAAAGCTTGGTTGCAGTTGAGGCTCATGGACGCTTTCGTCATCACTGCTGTCACCTTCGAGTCCATCGAACCAGTGCTTTGCCCCGGCTTTGGGCCGTCTGATATTCATCTTTATGTATGAAGTTTCTTGTCGAGAAGGGGTAATAGATGGTTTGGACTTCTCTGCACCGACCGATGTTGCAGGATGCTCAGACTGGAAGCGCACACCTTTTTGTGTCTTAGACTGATGAGTAGTATGTAAATGCCTCGTAGATTCACTTTGATTAGAGGGCCTGTTGGAATGTTGGTTGTTGAAAAACATCTTGGCGGCAGCATCCTCAGATTGAGAACTGTGCTTCGTGAGCTTCTTCGTTCCCGATTTATTGTCGCTTTTAGAGCGGCTAAAAAGTTTCAATTGACGCGGAGAGCCCTTGTCCGGAATCGTAGATTTGATGACCACCGGCGTTCCTTTTCGGAGAGCAAAATCCCGTCGGGAGGACTCAGAAGTCTGTTGTGACACTGCTAATGGCGCCTTATAAGCATCATAATACGAGTTCATGGTAGAGGATGAGCCGTATGTCTTGAGGCGCTTGGAATGTGTTGAGCCAGCAGCATCTGCTTTGAGCAAGAATTCCTCGTGCAACAACACAGACGACGCTTTCAAGTTGAGATCTGCACTGGCATCCAGCTGTTCCGTTGGGGGATGAGAAGAGCCCAGTTCGGTTGTGGCATCTGAAAATGACAAGGCAGGCAATTTTGCAGTGGCTGAAGAGCTAATGCTCTGGTTCCGCACCGTGTTGAAATCAGTTTCAGTGATCCCAAGCAGATGCTGTACTTTGTATTCGTTTCCTTCTGGCTGCCGGCCTTGGTTTGGAGCATTGGATTTTGTTCGTTTCAGAGACGCCGGCAGACGGAACCTTTGACCGCCACCCATATCAGCGTTTCCTGATCATGCCCACACGCTGACCTCTGATCTTTTGTGCATGCCGAGGTGGAGGGTATGTGGGACAAGCAGCCAACAAATACTCCGTCCAGTCCGTCGAGTCTCGTATCTTTTGTCTGACAGTGTTTCGTTTGAGGTGGTTTCTCTTGATCTTGGACCCGCTCTCGCAACCAGGACGGTATCGTCAAGAGGAAAAGGTCAGGAGGTGGAGGTCAACCGGTGTCGAGTTCGAAGTGCACAGACCGACGAGCCGAATGCCGTTCTTTTCGGGACTGTACGAGCAAACACGTTATTGGAATCTCGTGGAGGCCATTCTGCAGAACATGCCGGAGAGGCTTTCGAGGGGCTACAGTAACAAAAAACTTTGACAGTTCAGTTGAACTGAGGCAGGTGGAGGAGTTCGTGGAGGTCGCAGTGAAAGTAGGGTGTATGATGAGCAGTCCAAATTGCCCGGACTGGAATCGCCTGGCATTGAACTGGCCATCAGCCTCTGGCGGATCACCAGGTCTCTTCAGGCGGGATGACGAATTGAAGGCGGGCACGACAAATACCATGGATAACGGCCACCGCCCCGAGTCCCCAAGTTTCGAGCCTAAAGTTGCTCGTGGACACCGGACTAGCAAGGGCAAGGGTTGGTCGAATGGGCTTGAAGGAGATGCCATCCCCGAGGTGGAAAACGCTTGAAAGCTGCTGGAAAGTGTCGGTGGCTTGAATCGTTCCAGAAACTAGGGTTCCAGCCGTGTTGCCATGCCCCTTCTGGACCTTCTGGCCTTTCTGTCGGTGTTCTTGAAGCGTCTCTTGCAGCCCTCCACAAGACGTCTAGGCCGTGGTGGCGGATGCTAACCCAAACATAAAGGATTCAGAGTCGCTAGCCGCACCCTCCGCGGGCGGTGCTGAGTGGTCAGCTGAATGAGATGAGGAGCCATGGGGGTAAACTGGTAGCTTGCGAAGCCATCGCTAGCACCACTTGTTAGTTGAAGGCCAGAGAAGGGGTAGATCAAGTCCTTTCTTGGGAAGGATGTCGCGTTAACTGGATGGAGATCAAGTCTAGTGTGGGTGACGAGAGCCCCCGGGAGCAGCTTAACAACCAACTTGGGATGCGTGGACACCTTGAGACTGTCGGATCCACGGGGGGACTTTGTACGAGGTTAGCCCGAGGCAAGCCCTCGGTCAAGGGTGCTAGGTGCTAGGTGCCTTGGGTGCCAAGGGCAACTCCACTTCCAGTGACACCCACGGTGCCATCTTTGCTAGTTAAGGCCCTGGGGGAGAGTCATGGGGGGGCCCTCTTGGCTGAAGTGGCTTCAAGTTCTAGGGGGGATGCCAGTTCGGTAGCGTCGTCACTTGGACTGTGAGCCATCACCGAAAGGATAAAGGAACACCAACGGCCTAGTATGTAGCGACTCTGGGGGATATTGCTTTTCAGCCATGCCAGGGGGTTTCATTTCCTGAGATTCCGAATCGACTTGTTTACATCCGATGGCTGTTGTTTTACCGAGTCAAATTGCTTTGTTCGACTCGACTCATCTCGTCCTTCAGGCTTCGAGAATCTGCTCGCTTATTGTCCGCTTGTCACACACTATTATTAATTCCACTGCAAGAAGTACGAGTACAAATGAAATGCAGCCTCTTCAAGTATGGCTTGACTAGCAAAAGTTACATGGATCTGCTTCTCGAGGCAAGCTTGTTTTTTGCTTTTTGCTTTTCAGCATCTATGGACAATATTGGACCTGAAGCACAACGTCTGCGAGTAGGGAGAGATAGATACTCCTAGTCGCAGTATCGTGGAACCGTACGATAGAGACTAAGTGTTGGGCAAACAGCCCTGATTCTCTAAACATTATCTTTTGGAGTCTCGAGGTCGTACCGCAAGATTAGGGGCATCAGTTCGGGGCCCCTTGTCGAGGCTTGTTGTGACACGACCACCCATTCAGCCACCATCACCAAAACCACCATTGCCACGTGTTTTCCTCGTGGCAGCCCGGGACGTGTCACACCCTACCGAGTACTGACCAGCCACCTCTTCAGGGTCTCCTGCAGTTTCATCTGCTTGTTTTGTGGCGGACGCCTTTTCGGCGCACAATCAGTCAGCGGTCGCTGTCGAGGCTGCGTTGCTGCAATCAGTGCTATAACTCCTGTTGTCACGGAATCGATTTGTTGATTCTTCCAGACTCATGCTCGCTGCAGAGGGGGAACGATCAATGTTGATCAGTATGCGTGAGATACTGATCTTTCGTCGACGAACCGGCGTTGTCAGTTCCTTCTCGACAACGGGGTTCTTTAACGAGGGATTCCTTGTGGCCGTGTCATATCCCCAGCGGTATACTGGAACCCCGAACTCGTCGTACGAGATCATTTCTTCGCATCCTTCGGCTGTCGTATAATCATTTTCACCAGCGTACGCTTTGAGTGAACTCAGCAGGTCATTGCGCCTCGTATTGTCAGGGTTTGTACAGGTCTCGAAAAGACCCTTTACTGATGCCAATGAACCCATGCATCGCTCCTTGACCTGCCACATCTCCGCATCGTCAAGTGATCCGACTTCGAAGAAGCCTCTAGCTACTGGCTTGAGCAGACCCTCCTCCACGAGGCGCTCCATTGCCCAGTCAAGCACCTCCCTGGTCCAGCGAAATGGTTTCAGCTGCGTCTGAAGGAAGTCTCCGGCAATCCGCAATCCGGGTGTGGTCTTTGCTGCGAGATAGCCTGTAGCCACTCGGAGGAGAATAATGAGTAGGGGAGAATTCGGGGGTTTTAGCCCTTCGGAAAACAAGAGGCAGGTATAGCAGAAGTGCTCCTCAGGTATGGTAGCAGGAGGGAGGCTGTCGCCACGGCCATAGCATTCTTTATGCTGCCAACTATCGCATACTTCGCAAAAGAGCTAACCTGGTTAGCCACTGAATTGGTAGCTTTCGACCAGCTTACCATTGAACTTGATCTATGCTGACTTCCACATTCACAGCCAATGCGACTCGATCGACTAAGCCGTCGGATCCTACCGTCGGCTAGCAGGCGATGGTCAAAAGCGTCTCCACTTTCACCAGTCTTTCCACTCTGAACAGCATAGCAGTGTATGAGAAGCTCTGCGAGCTTTGTGACACTGATACAGAGCCCATTTTCTCCAGGCAGGCTCTTTTGGACAGGACAATCTTTCGACGCACTTCCTCGGTGACCCGGTCTTGGAGTTGCGAAGGCTGACCCCCTAGGGCCCTGGAATTCTGTGAGTTGGTTTGTACCGACGCTGTGTGGAACAGACTCATCGCTTGATGGCTTCTTAGGTTCAGAGGGCCGCAGGCGTTTCGCACTAGGCATTGGGCCGTTCCTAGAACGTTTTGAACCAGGAAACGAGTCTCTCAAGGTAGACAATAAATTGTTGCTGTGGCTGGAGGAGGTCTTCTGCATTGCTTGCAGCTGTCTGCTGATTTCCGTGTCATGCAGATCAATCAACGATTCTTGTCTTGCAGCATCTTGAAGGTGTACTGCAACGCGCATTTGATGGTAACCACACTCGAGCATACCTACAACATCCTCGTCTCGATCCAGCAGCGCCTCACACATTGTCTGACCTTCCCCCTCTTGATATTCATCTTTGTCTACAAAGCCGGGTGGCTGATATACCATAGGACATGACTCGTTATATGTGAGACTCATTCCTAGCTTGCGACGAGCTAAGTCTCTGTCAGTGCTCTGACCTGCGACAAGACGAGAAACGCGCACCTGGCAGACGGGGTAAATTCCTGAGCGAACGAAGCAGAGCCCGTATCGCAACCCTGAAACTTTTGTGCACATTCTCCAAGACGAATGCGTGAGCTACCGAACTCAAATGCACACTGGTGACAGTGCCACGTTCGTACGCGAAAGCGAAGTGGTAAGTCTCGATAATTGATGGCTGGCGTTGGGCTGCGTCGGTCACAAAGACTCGCAGGCTGTCTAGGTAGCTTTGATCCAAGGCGTCAAAAACCCCTTGCTCCTGACTGGAAATTAGCGGGCTTCTCGAAGTCTGCCGAGGATGTTCAGGGTGTACAAGCATATCAAGCATTTGATCGGCGCATCGATTGCCCCCACGGACGAGAAGTTTGACCTCTTGACCCTCACCAGCGCTCTCTGGTGCCAACGATTGAAAAGCTGAATACAGGCTCTCTCCGGCAGACGAGTCGCTTTCGAGGGTGATTTGATCGACATATCGCGTGCGGAAGCAGGACGATGTCCAAGGGATCAGTTCTCTAGTATGGGCGATACAGGCCAACGATGCGTTGAGGAAGATCTGAACAACCGCGAGGCTTTCGGCTTGGGAAAGTATCCGTTCAGTAGGAGGAGCAAGGAGCACCTGCTGTGCCATGATTGTGAGGACCCAATGATCAACTTTTGAGGGTGAAGGTAGAAGAATTTGGTCCTGGAAGTCAGAAACACAGTGCGTTGCGGGTTTCGATGTCACGATTTCTGGATCTCACATGACCCAAGTCCACTTGCAGAGATATCACGTCCGTTATCAACCTGAAGTCCAGAGATGATAGAGGCATGAAATCCTGACCACCAGTTTCATTGGATGGACCATCAATCTACAGGAGCTTGTTCAACCCGAATAATGTGTTTGGGTGGCTCCTTGAGGAGACAACTGGGTCATCTGAATGCAAAGAGAGACAGATGAACGAGAGTATGTGCTACCACTTTCGGTCGCAAAAACAGTTCATCTGTTCGAGCATCTCCATTTTCTAGAGGCAGCAGAGTCCTGCTACCAGTTTGGTCGATAACGATCATGCCCTTCAGCAAAATCCGTAGCAATGTGACGGGTCGAAGACTTGCTCCCGAGAACAGGGTTGCCTATTTGAGCATGTTTGAGCACCCAAATGGCCATCTAGGAGCATGTATTAGGTAGGCAGGAGCTGACGACATTCACCGGGTGGTAATCACAAGCTGCCGGCTCCAGTGGCAGAGTGGCGAAGGCGAAATGAAGTCGCTTTTTCCGCGTATTATTATGGTGATGGCAGTGGCGCGGCAATTGCACCTAAAAATTGCCCGCAGCGGAAACCAAGCAAAATTGGTCATGTCTGACACCAAAGTCTTCTCCCTTCGCCCTGTCATTCTGGCGTTGTTTGGGTGTTTGGGTGTCAGAAAATCTGTCAGACAGAGCTTCCCTCCTCTGCCTTGGCTAGCAAGCGCGCGCCAAGCCCAAAGCCTTTCGTATCTTTCATTCCGTATCTTCTTTTCAGTGGTTCAGGCTCGAACGGCCACCCCCCTCGGGCCAATCCTGCACCGCCAGTCACGCCCTTGGCCATCGCCTCTACCCTCGCCCACGCTCGCTCCTTTGCCATCTCGCTGGATCCGCCCGCTCTCCACGCTGCCTCCCACTCTCCCGACACATACCAAACACCTCGTTCTTTGAGAAACATCATTGTTCAACGACTCAGTCCCGTTTCACACCCGATTTGGGACTCTGCAAGCGTGCATCTCCACGAAGGACCATGCCATCGTTCTTTGCCTCTCGATTTTGAACAATAGCGGACCTTCATCGAACCTTCGCTTTGTTTTAAGTCCACGACATTTGCACAACACCACCCAGTTGTTACAGTCCCAACGCAGGCGTACCTCGCCGCCATCGGTCCTCTCGCTTCGCCAAATCCTCTATCTCGTCCTGTGATCTCAACGGAGTGGTCATTCACGTATTGAGACTGCATGGTGTTCTCACCACTTCCCACAAATCACGACAACGACGCGACCCTTATCTACTTTCCTCGGGCACATGATCTCTGTCCATAGACCTGACGAATTTGAACGGTGACGAGGAAGAACACAATGGAAACCGATACGGTGGACCCCGTTCTTCGTGGCCGGCACCAGTCTGTGCTTCGGGGAACTGAGATAGGACAACATCAACGAAGTAGTAAAGACAACGCAGCGCACGCTAGGACAGTAGAGTCGGACAACTTGCTGGGTCAATTCTCATTTGCACCAGCCACACAGACCACTGTTGTTACTACAACCACAACTACCACCACCAAATTTCCTCCCTTCATAATGCGTCCACTACGGCGGACGAAAGACTTGGATCTCAAGCAATATCCTTTGGCAGCGAGCCCTACCCCGGCCAGTTTGAAAAAGATACACTTCGAGATAGGCGGAAAACACACAATCTTCCGAGAAGCGGAAGATACCACACTGGCACTAGAGCAGGTACGAGGCGTGCATCTTGACTTTCTAACAGATTGCTAACTCGGGAGCCAGTTACAAGAGGAGCAACGGATTCTTCGAAATGCTAATGGCGCAGTCGAGACCGTGGAGACCTTCCAGCCTTATACTTCTATCCGGCCAGCAGGCTCAAAGTTTACCTCTTTCCGACGGAGAGCGCAGAGACGGCCAGCCTCTCCAGAGTCCATTACTGACAGTGAAGATCAAACTCAGTCGCACGAACCCTCCTTTGCATCAAGTCGTGCTGGACCATCGACGAGATATCGCCCCGAACTGGCCGCGTCGAATTCCTACTACCAATCTATAAACCCAATTACCCCAGACAGTATTCCGAAATCCAGCAACGGATCTCGTGCACTCAAACTGCGAGATATACGAGAGCCACGAGAGCAAGGTAGCTCATCCAGAACCATGAGTACGCTCCTGCCCTCCCCAAATATGAGTCAACAACCACCATTTCCAAACATCCAGCCGTCATCACCAAGATCTAGGCATTTTCATTCCCTGGAATCAGAAGACGGAACTGCCTCTTCCACTGATCGCTCCCATCTAGAGCGGAGAAGTCACAGAGAGATCTCTCAAGAAGCGGCGGTTCCTACGCCCCCTATAATCGATGACGGCGAGTTGTCTTCAGCAAGACCTCTAAGTAGGCGTGCTCTATCATCCGTCCCTGCTCGGCTGCATGTCGCGGAAAGTCCATCCGTGCAGGATGGAAGTCTTCCTAGTCCGAGTCTTTCTCCTGTCACAGCTGCTGCAACACTACAAAACACTGGATACTTTGCAGACGTTGATTCGAACTCGGAGATCGCCTCCCAGCACGAGGGTTTGTCAAGAGTTCTTGTACCGGACAGACAGTCACCCAACTCTTTTCACTCCCCCGAAGCCGCCGACTTGCATCCCCATCACGATTCTCGCCAGCTCTCCCGCTTCACCAGTGGCTCAGTCGCCGAGATCCCAGCAATGCTTGATTATTTTGAAGCCATCCCGGATGAACTGAAGAGCTACATTATGCACCAACTACTCCGCCGGTGCCCTAAGTCTACACTCCAGGTCGTTGCGGATGCTGTCAACCCTGCGCTCAAGTGCGATTTCCTCTCCCTCTTGCCGCCCGAATTGGCACTTAATGTCCTCAAATACCTTGATGTCAAGAGTCTGTGCAGAGCTGCGCAGGTATCGAGAAAATGGCGGCAGATGGTTAATGGCGATGAGAGAGCTTGGAAAGAACTATTCGATGCAGACGGATATACGCTGTCGGAAGGAGAATTGAAGCAGGCCATTGCCGAAGGCTGGGGCTGGCAAGATCCATCTGGTCCGTCTGGGTACGAAGAAAACATTGCCGATTCGACTCCCAGCAGGTACGATACAACCGCAGAGGCCCATTCTCCTGCAGCACAGTCCCAAAATAGGTTCAGTGAAATCCTACGCTCGAAGCGAAAGGCCCCCACGATGTTATCCAGTCGAAAGAAACAAATCAAACTTGTCAAGTCGAATTCCTGGGATACCTCGGTTGACGTCACCTCTTTTAGCCTGTTGAAGGACTTCTCCGCAGACGGCCCATATAACGCGGCACATTCGGCCATGGCTGCTGTCCCCCAACCGAACATCGGTCTGCCGAGTCTCACGGGTCTACATCTTTACAAATCTCTCTATCGAAGACACTTTCTTATCCGGCGGAACTGGATGTTCGAAGATGCGAAACCCCAACATATCGCATTCCGCGCGCACGACACCCACGTCGTTACCTGTCTCCAATTCGATACCAACAAGATCGTGACGGGGAGTGATGATAATAACATCAATGTCTACGAGACCAAAACCGGGGTCCTGAAGGCCATCTTGACGGGACACGAAGGTGGGGTTTGGGCTTTGCAATACGAGGGAAACACACTGGTTTCAGGTTCCACAGATCGATCAGTAAGAGTCTGGAATATTGAAGAAGCACGGGAAACACAGGTCTTCCGTGGACACACGTCAACAGTGCGATGTCTTCAAATCGTGTCCCCCGTCAAAGTTGGAGAAAATGCAGAAGGAAGACCTATCATGATGCCTAAGCAACCTCTCATCATTACGGGATCCCGTGACTCGACCTTGAGAGTGTGGAAGCTTCCGCGGCCAGAAGATCCAGTATTTATCCAAGCTGAGAACGACCTTGATACTGATGATTGTCCCTACTTTGTTCGCACCTTGTCCGGTCATCAGCACTCTGTACGTGCAATTGCTGCTTATGCAGACACCTTGGTAAGCGGAAGCTATGATTGCACAGTGCGTGTTTGGAAAATATCCACGGGCGAAACGATCCACCGCCTTCAAGGCCACACTCAAAAGGTCTACAGTGTTGTCCTCGACCATGACCGCAATCGCTGTATAAGTGGTTCCATGGATAACATGGTGCGCATATGGGATCTAAACACTGGATCTCTCAAATATTGCCTGGAGGGCCACACATCCTTGGTCGGTCTGCTGGACTTGAACTGCGATAAACTCGTATCTGCAGCAGCCGACTCGACCCTCAGGATATGGGACCCAGAGACTGGACAGTGCAAGGCTACTCTGAGTGCACATACCGGTGCTATCACCTGCTTCAAGCATGACGGCGAGAAAGTCATATCCGGCTCTGACAGGACTCTGAAGCTGTGGAACATCAAGACCGGCGAATGCGTCAAGGATCTGCTCTCCGACCTCAGCGGAGTATGGCAGGTGAAATTTGATGAAAGGCGCTGTGTTGCAGCAGTGCAGCGCGAAGGTTTGACGTTTATAGAGGTACTGTCACACCCCTGAACTTTTGTGTCAAGTCGACTGACTTTCTTTGCAGGTTCTAGACTATGGCGCCGCTCGTGATGGTGTCCCTGAATACAACTTGGGTCGAAGAATTGTTGTCGATGCCGATGGGATGGAAGCCAATCACGACGACAACGGATATCTGGATCTGGACGGCTCCGCTGATCCATGATGTCTTCACAAAGAAATCAATCAGACCTGAAGTTGATTAGATTTCAGTTTTTGACAAAAAGCTGCAGGGCAGGGCAGGTATCCCCTGACGATGCATCATCACTCAACCACTCTCTGTCGCGTCTTGGGAACTTGGAAAAAATATGACGATCACTGTTTAATGATTTTTGCTTCACGATGGCACCTTCGACGCCCATATGGAGGCTCAGAAGATCACGAAATGTCAACTTCACCAATATGTTACAGCACACCAGCGAGTTCTTCTTGTTTATGGGTTGTTTTAGTCTGCCCATGCTGGCCGGATGATGTCTCTACAACCGGCAAAGGAGCAAGGTGTTTCTGCATGAGCGGATCTTTGTCTCGAACCAGAGAGGGTGTTTTCCATGCCATTGAATGTTCTGCTGCGAGAATTGGAACTGCACCTTGGCCTCGGTGGGATTGCACTGCTTGGAGAACGCACTTAGGATTTCTCAAGTTCTAGCTTTTGAAAATGTTGTTCTTAACCCGCCAGACGTAGCCATGCCTGACGAATACATAGGAAATGCACATATTTACGGACGTTCCAACCTAGAGTTTTAGACATTTGGTCAAAGACGATCCTTGGGGAGAGTAGCGTGGAGAGGATTGACCGTTTTGGGATTCACAGAAGCGTAGAAAGGCAGTACTGGGCAGTATAGAGTATTCACGACGCCGCAGTCCGGGTCCGTGTCACACCGTGTGGTCCCAGTGCGGCAAAGCACGCCTTCTTCGCCTAGAATACATTCATTGCTCTAGAGCACGTCGGTGGTATCATACCGCGGAACGCTCCGAGCCTCAAGTCCCCGGATCCCAGAGATACACTTTCTTGTTTCCACCCCGGATATCTGGTCCTCCTCTCTTTCTGTCTCTCTCTATTGCCTCCTCCTCTTCCGATTCGAGGTCGACCCGCCTCCCGAGCGTGAAACGGGTTCGGTAAACATGGACTCGAAAGCATCCAAACCTTGGGTGACCCCCTTGCCCACCAGCGCAGGGGGTTCGCGCGGCTGCTGCGTGTTGGACTGCTCCTGGCTGGCTGCCGAACTGCGGGTTTTCTGACGACGGCGTCTCGATTGCGGCTGTTGCTGTTGCTGTTTCTTGTTCGATTTGGACGGCTTGGGCGGTTCCGCGAACATGGCTTCAAAGGCATCCAGGCCCTGCGAGACCCCTTTGCCGACGAAACCTGGTGGGGGTTGCGAAGCGTTTGATTCCGACGGTCCTCCCGGGGCCGCTCGGTTTTGGTGTCGTTTGGGTAGGGTCCGGGACTGCTGTTGTTTCTTCGACCTGGGTGAATGAGGTGGTTCCGCGAACATGCTCTCAAAGGCATCGATGCCTTGCGAGACGCTTTGGCGTGGCGGAGGCACTTGTGTAGGGGCCCTCCTAGAAGAAGACCCAAGAGGAGACATTGATTCGGCCATAGACTCAAGTGGAGTAGCTCTACGCTTCGAAGGCGCGTTTGTGCTTGCAGGCTTTGCACGATCTCGAGAGTTCAACTCTTTATACACGAAATCAAGTTGCTCGTGTAGGGATGCGGTCGAGTCGACCTTGTCAGATTTTGAGCCAGAGAATTTCCTCAAAGAGTCAAAAACCCGCGGAGGCTCTCGCTGTCCTTGCGGTTCGGTTGAGGCCGGAGCACTTGCTTCTGAGCCAGTGCCCAATATCTCGCGCATGAATTCCTGGAGACTCAAATTTGGAAGTGCGGTGGATCCACTTCCTGACGACTGTGCAGGCTCAGAGTCCGACTCCTTACCATGAAGTAAATGTGATATCTCTGCTCCGATTGGACTCGGGCGAGTTGAGGCGCTTTTACTGATGACTTTGTGGTCCGCAGCTTTGTCCATGGCATACCACTCCAGGTTTGCGGCCCTGAGAATGGCCCATTGCAGATTCTTGAGGCCGAGGGCATTTCCATTCGCTCTCTTCGCTGTCGAGACATCTTCGAGCGACCCAACGGCGATCATTTCGCCTAGCATTAACGCCGAGTTGCCCTCGAAGGTGGCTTGGCTGCGCAGCCTCGTCAACGCTTCGCGAATGTCCCCTTCTGCAACCTTTGAGCTCAATCGATCACATTTTGTGGCAACAACCTGGAATGGGATGCCGAGCTTGTGAAATATCTCCAGCATGTGGCGGTCGGCAGCCATGACACCGTGACCACTGTCGACGAGCAGAAATGCTCTGCGCAGATTCCTTCGGTTGTTCAGGTACGACACAATCTGAGCACCCCATTCGGACCTGCTGCCAAAACCATACCCCGGCATATCCACAAGAGTGAGCTTCGGGTTGACATCTCCATCCCACCCTTTTATAGCGCCACCAGTTTCGTCTCTTGCTGCCAACGCCCACGCGGCCATGACCTGGGTCATTCCAGGAGTAGCACCGACTCGATTAAGATCCGAAGAAGTGAGGGCATTGATCAAAGTGGATTTGCCAACGTTGGATCGCCCGACAAAGATGACTTCGGGTACTAGGATGTTTTGTTGCGAGGGTCTTGAGGAGCGCCGCCAGGGTTCGGACGTTTTCCAGCCTGTTCCAGTCCACGTCCTCGAGGGCTTGTGGTTTTTGAAGAAGTGTGCGGCTGCAGCTAGATTCTCTTCGGTCGGAGGAGTGGTATCCCAGTACCACGACCCAGCAATCTCTGAGGGCGGATCTTGAAGCTGAGAACGAGTCGAGGACAGTCTGCGTCGGCCATTCTGGAGCTCGACTAGACGTTGTCGGAGACGAGTGCGGCAGACCAACCGGCAAGTAAAGCAAGTAGAGCTTTGCATTTAATCGCCAGGCAGAACTTGTGGAAAACTGGAGCCGGTGTTGAAGAAAGGAAGCCAACAACAAGCACAGGATTTCGGAGCGCAGGGCGAGGCGACATGGAAATTTTGAGGATCTTGTGTCGCGTCGCCGAACCCGAACCCGCCAATCAAAGGCAGCCCCAGGAGGACTTCCCGGTCAGCCTTGTAGCCTCGAGCCCAAAAGCCTCCAACTCCCCACATTCTGAAGAGGGCAAACTTGAAGGACAGGGTGCGGACCTCGACGGCAAACACGTCTTCGTTCATGCAACAGCCACTCCATTCACGATGATCAACGCTGTTCTGGTCTTCAATAATAACGGTCAGCCGAGACTGACAAAGTTCTACTCACAACTAGTTAGGTGACACTGCGAAAACAACCATCACCAGTGCTGACTATGTTCGTGCAGGATACAGCGACACAGCAGTCTCTTCTCTCCCAAATATTCAGCCTCGTATCAGCTCGACCAGCTTCTGCCTGTAACTTTCTGCCGCTTCCTCCCTTGTTGGCTCCCAGTGGCACGGGCACCAATGCTTCGCCCGACGCACCCACCCAAATCACGTACCGCCATTATGCTACCCTCTACTTCATCTTGATCTCGACTTCTACCGAGTCTCCTCTAGCGCTGCTCGACTTCATCCAGGTGTTTGTCGAAGCCCTGGACAGACTATTCGAGAACGTGTGCGAGCTGGATCTGATCTTCGGGTTCGAGACCTTACATGCCGTTCTCAGCGAAATGGTCGTTGGAGGTGTTGTCGTCGAGACCAACCTAGATAAGATTGTTGAAGGTGTCAGAACAACCGAGGGAGTCAAGGGCAAGAGAAAGGCCATCAATGCCCGCGATTCTACCAGCTCCATAGGGAGGGGTACGGGATTTGCTGGTCTCAGTTGGGCTACAGGCTCAGGAAGCAGCTGGAGGTGACTTTGAGCTTGATGGGGACGAGAAATATCACCACATCCACAAAATGCCTCAATCACGAACAATTCAGACTGAGCGACAAAAATCTCACATTACGGCAGCCAGCCAGCGGCAGGAAAGGAACTTTCTCGTCACTCCCACTTTGGTCTTGAGCAATTGGATACAAGTCGCCCATTGCTCCAAGAGAGATGATTCTCACACTCGGCTACACTTCGACTCTGGTCTCTGAACAACCTTATCTGGCCCATCTGGCCACATACGCTCGCGATGCGGACAGCAAAGCACACGCCACGAATGAACATATCACATGTGCTTGTGTGTGTGACAAACATAGGGCATCGGAAAGGACGCTTGGGGTCAAGTGAATGCTGGCATTGACGCTGTGCTCGCTTTCCGAACATACTAAGGAGGTGCAATCGATCCATCAGTCCGCTGATGCTCGCTAACCAGACGACAACCAACGCAGCAAGATATTCAGTTCTCGTTCGTGTCTACAGGGCGAATGCGAGACAGAAAGCAATAGATCAGTCTTGAAGTGCGAGATGGAGGTGTTCGTTCACGGGTGGCGTCTAGAGGCGCAATCAGAGACAGTCGACAAGCGGAGTCACCACCATCACTCGCGAAGGGGGGTATAATTCAAGTTTCCTATCCTCTTGGATCTTGCCGGCTCGGGACGGCAAGACGATAGAGGCTCGGCCCAGTGCGGACTACCGAGTCATGGGTTAACACGAATTGGTGGCTGTAGGAATTCGATGGAAGAGGTTATGTGTGATGGCACAGTTTGAAAGCACGGTATTGGTGAGGCATGCACCGTGAAAGAGCACTTTCGGACAAGAGAAGGGTGGACCTAGTGATGTTGAAAGCACTGGGTTGCCCGAGGGCACATCAGGCAACATGATGCAGGGACCTTGGACTTGACAAAGCCTGGAGTTTCTCAGTGGTCTGCAGTGTGATGGAAACAAAGGGACGAGGTTGGGTCGAGAAGCCACATTGGAATGTTCCCGGGCGCTTAAAAATAGGATGTGAATGGAGGGTGCAGACTGTGAGATGGATGCCTCCTAGACGATTGCAGTTAGAGCCCCCCTAACAGGGATCCACCATCCAGGCACCTAGCCACCCCCATAGGCTCGCCCACTATTGACGGGGGCTCCCCTCTTGGACATTTGGGTGCTTTGGCTTATGATTTGCCCGCCACTGTGCTTCACCCTGCAGACGGCATCCTCGTTTTCACAGCTTCCCACTTCTCACCTGGTACCAATCATCACAGCAGGCGGCTTGCTGGCCGCTCCTCAGCAATCATGATCAGGTACATCTACCGCCGTGATCGCTCATTGACGAGCAGCCAGCTGCTTCATATCGCTCTCGGCCAGGGGGTCAGCGGTTTCAGGCTCGCAGTTCTGGGACATGTCGACAACTTGATCCGCCTACAAAGATGAGTCGTCCCTCTTTACTCTTGAGCGTCTCGATTCTTCTTGTCTCTGTCCTCATTGTTCCACCCTCCGCTGCCCGGCCACATTCGATCTGGGAAGTCGACATCGACAACAGCCCTGCCCCGCCACCAGATCAAGGCCCGCCGCTCTCCGCTGGAGCTCTTCGAGACAAGTCCAAACTCAAATACGAGGTGGTTGGCATAGTTGGAGCCTACGTCGTTTGGTTGATCGTCACAGTTGTGCTACTTTTCCTTGTCGGCAAGAAGCTGCGTCGCAACGTCCAAACCTCGAACCGCAGCCTCAGCATGGAAATCATCAAGCCTGCTCCTTTGGCTAATCAGAACAAGATGAATGTTGAAGCGCCTCTCAAGAGCCCTGGCAAGATGGCCAGCCTCAGATCGTGGGCTTCGGGTAAATCACATTCCCACAAACAGTCGAGCATCAGTATGTCGTCCACCATCGACGAAAAGATCCTCGAGGCGGACAAGGCAAAAAACATGGATGAAATGGCGAGGCTCTATGCCGCTGTGATGGCACATGACGAAGAGAAAGCCAGGACCAGTGGCCAAACGTCGCCTCGCACGCCCAATTACCCACCTCAGTACAATGCTCCCCCAACACCCAGATCACCTTATCATCTCCCACCCACTCCAAGGTCCCCTTACTATCAGCCGAATCCCAATCTCAATGGGCCGGCCTCCCCCAGGTCGCCACGCTATCCTCCAGAGTTTCAACATCTGCGACAGCCTGAGCCAGAAATCCAAAGTCAGGATATTCGACCAGTGACACAGGCATTGGTTCACCCCCTGGCGCCCACACCTGCTGATGATATTTCCTCGATGAGGACAGAGTCGCAGACCAGCAGCCGCAAGAAGGTGTCACCTCTTTCCTTTATCTCGGGCCGTAGTGACTCGGCTGATCAGTCGAAAAAGCGCCCGACCAACATTTCAGTTCGTGGCCAGCCCATCTCGCAACCAATCGGCTCTGCCACTCTCACGGACACGTCGATTTATTCCGAAGATGCCCTTTCTTCTCCTCGCATATACAACCCGGGGCCAGCCCCACCAACACCAGGCCAAAAGTCTGTGACTGTGGTCGAGGAGGTTGAAAAGAGAGGACCCCCCGCGCCGCTATCTCTTCGCAGTGCTGCAGCCTCCAACAGCTCCAACACGTTGCCATTCCGTCAATTCTACAATGACGCGTTGAAGAGCGCACCTGCAACCAAAACCACTTTTGTGGACCGTCGCGAGAGTATCCTGGGTGTGCATCCAAAGACGGGAGTGCCCCAAACTCCCTATAGTCCCTACATGCCGTACACACCCATGACGCCCGTGACGCCTCGCACTCTTATGACGAAGAAGGAGATGAAGAAGAACAGGAAGAAGGAAGGCCTGAAGGTGCTGACCGAGGACGACATGGTGCTCTCCGACGAGGACTTGTGGTCAACCTAGAAGAACGCGGGGAGTTTCCCTCACCCATGGATGACGACGTTCTTCTTTTTCTTTTTTGGGTCGTCTTGTTGTTTCCTTGTCTCATACTACTAGGTATCTTTCCTATCTCAGCCTTGGTCCTGAGCACAAGGAAGCCATTGGCTGCCGCGGCATGGTGGTCGGAGGGCACTGAGGGGGAGGGAGACGAAGTCCAAGTGTACAATTTAGGCCCGCCTGACGAATGGCGAAGATAGATACATATACCCTGAACTCGACCCAACGCACTGGGATGTCGACGTCGATGAGAATGACACTTTACCATTGAGAGAAGAATCTTTCCGTCTCGTCTTTCTTGTCTTTGTCTCGTCTCGGACACCTGTTTCTCGTCGCGGTTCCACAGTAAGTAACCATTGGATCTCGAGACCAAGTCCTTCCCCGGGATGTCTTGCTTGGTCCTCGGTGCCATTGGTTATTTAGTCATCATGGACTCCAGCTGAGGCTGAGCAATGATTTGTTTGTAATGTTCTTCTAACCTGCAGGAGGAGTACGGCGGGTTGTATGTGTGTCCTTGCTCATTCAATACCATTGAAATTGAAATTGCCATTACCAATATTACATGGTTTGCGTTCCTACGCGTATACCAGGTTACCAGCTGGGTAAAGAACTCCTTCTACGTGTATATGTATGTAGTACCACTACGTCTGGCTATGTACCTATCTATCTGTGTTCTGGTCTGGTCTAATCTAGTCTGGACTGGACCTGGATTGACCACAGTGCTGATGCTATGGGAGAGAAATTACCTATAAGAGATGACTTGTAGGCAGAATAAGAACTTTCCCCCCTTTCCCCCCCCCCCCCCCCCCCCCAAAAAAACCGACCAACAATATTCCTTCCTTCGTGGACGAGGTCTGTCCGTCCGTCCGATCGATCGAATTTAATCGTATCCAATCCAAATCAATCTAGTTGTGCACGACATCAACAACGACGACGCGAGACTTCCAGACCAATATCTCCTTGCAACTCGGCCTTGGGATCCGTCTGGCTCTCGTATCGTCTGGAGTCTATTGCTCTGCAAACCTGCTCTTGGACCTCAGCACGGCGCCGTACCTCCACAGGTAGACCATGCCGAAGACGCCCGCGGCGCTGACGGCGGCGAGCACGCTGACGCCCTTGTCGACGCCCCAGCCGACAAAGACGGCCCGGCTGCCCATGACGACCCCCGCGGCCATGGATCCCCGCGACATGTCGTACGTGGCGGACAGCGAGGCAAAGTATTTCCGGTAGGACAGGGAGATGTAGATGATGGTGCACTGGAAGACGACGAAGCTGCCGCCGGAAAAGAGGGCGATACCGACCGTCGGCACGATCCAGTGGAACGTCGGGTGTGCGTCGCCGTTGTTGGGGTCGTGAGACGTCGCCGTCGCGGTCCACGCGAACAGGAACAGTCCCGCCGGGCAGAGCACGCTGAATGGGATCGACGGGATCAGCCACCGCTCCTGCGCGATCGCGGCGTTGATGTGCATTCTTCGCGGCGCTGTGGCCCGAGACTGCGGTTGGTTCGTGTCGTCGGTCGCGGAGGACACAGCAGCGGACGCCGCTTCTTTGACTGCAGCACGAGCCCAGGGAGTGAAGTACAGCTTAAGGTAAACGGCGTAGATAGTGGCGCAGATTCCAGCACCGACGATCACGGAGAGGAATACCAGCCCAATAGCTCCGGCGGAGAAGCCATACCTGTCGTTGTAGACCAGTGGGAAAGCCTGTAAACGTTTCTGTCAGTCAGAGACATCCTCAGATTCCGATGGGAATCTTGTGGGAAAGGGGGAAGCCATAAAATTCTAGACAAACAGATAGACATACCTCGAAATATGAATAGTAGGTGGCATACACGATGCCGCCGTATACAGTGACAAAGGCAATCGCAGGATCTTTGAGCGCTATCTCGGTCGGCTTGATCAGCGCGTCCATAAACACTTTTGCAACATTCAATCTCTTGATCTCCGACGGCGCCCGGTACTTTGGGTCATTTGTGATCTTCCTCATGCGCTTCGCTCGTTGGAGGAGGATGTAATCTGCGCTCGTCTCCGGCAGCAGGATGATCAGTGGGAACAGACCCCCCGCCATGATCGCGCACTCCCAGTACGGCCATCGGAAGTCCCTGACGATGGCGTAGCCAGATAGAAGCGGACCAACCGCAGGCCCAGCGTACATCGCGCCCAGCCAGATCATGTAGCCGTACGGCGACTCGAACTCATCAAAAAGGTCGTCGTACGAAGCGGCACCAGTGGCCAGGATCGGGGAGCCAAAGTAGCCTTGCAGGAAGCGTAGGACGCAGATGGTGGCGAAGTTGAGGTCTTGTACCTGTGTAAGGGCGATGGTCAACGCGAGGAAAGGGAGGAACGAGGCCCAGTATGGGATGTTGCGGCCAATCCAGGGTATTTCCGACAAGGGGGCAAACAGCAAAGGGCCCAGAGCGTAACCGAGAACGTATAGGGCGAGGATCAAGGAGACAGAGGTTTCGTTGAGGCCGTGCTGAGGTGCGATGAATGGGTAGGACGGCGTCGTGATAGACGAGGTGCAGTAGACAACAAAAGTGTAGATACTATTGCGAGCAGGTGTCAGTAGATGCGGCGCTGTAGCAGGGAGAAAGTGTGCCAGTGCGGGTTGGGTATCCAAAAAGCATGCGGTTTCACATACAAGATGATGAAGCTGGCCCATAACTTCTTCGTCGTCGAGAAGTTTCGTGGATTCTCTGCATCTGTTGGACTATACCAGTCGACTATAACGAGATCATCAACGTTCGTCCCCTTTTTTGCAAGCACTTCAGGGTCGGCTTCAGAATTGACTTGAACTTCGGCAACTGGATCTACCGGCTGCGATCGTCTATTTCGCAAGAGTTCGAGCCCATTTCTGTCATCCGTATATTGCAGAAGGTAGCCCTGTGAAACTAGGCGGAGGAATTGACCCAAAGGGGTGTCCCTCAAAAACGTAGCCATCTGGATGGGAAGTGGATGTGCTGCGAAGATACTCAGATAGATTTTCTGGGCACAAGAAGCTTACTTGGTGCAAATGTCCATGAGAACGACGTCCCAACCTCTTATAGCCCATCGAGAGGTTGAAGTGGCGCCAAAGACAATATCAGACCGTTTTCCAGAATCGTTCGGCCGTACTGTACTTCTGTGGAAACAGAGCCAGAAATAAGCACGATAGATTGCATTACTTACTCAGGGGGCTTGGTCAGCGAGTACCGTAGTAGCACAGGCAGGACTGGTGTAGTGACCCTGAACGAGCCTTTGCCGATCGTGTCTATGTCGTTGCTCCGAATGGCGTTGATTGGGCTGAACCACATCTCCAGAATCCTGTCGACTTGGCGCAGCAGGGCATGGACTTACCACTGAAAGATACAGCACACTTCATCACGATAGTGGAGGGAATCGAAGCTCCTTCGGTGCAAGCACAGGTTATAGTCGGCTTTGCTAAGCAGGGATGGGGACTTGGGTGCTTCAACGGGCTAGCGCACCGACACAAATTGCTGCCGCTTGCCACTGTGGCGTAGAGATATAGTGTATGGTATCTGGAAACGACCATCAGGAGGGGGATGTCCGAGTTCGACATGACACTGCAATGTAACTGCACTTGCGACCTGTCTCCAGCCGCGCCACATTGATCTGAGATGCTCTCACAAGAACAGACCGTGTTGAAGCGAGAGGCATGACACTGTCGATGTTTGGATGCCAAGCCACCTATCCCGCGGACGTGAAATGAGGACTTGCCAGGCTAGAGGAAATAGGAGGTGCTGCGCAACTCTGCGACTATCGCGTCCGTAACATCAACGGAGCCGAAACTCTGACACAGAGAAGTAGTAGCTTGTCTTCAGAAACGGTGAGGCGGTTCACCCGAGTCTGGAACGAAGAGTACAGAGGTGTGCGAAGAGGCGACCCAAATATTGGCCGTGTCTGGTGAGAATCTCGTAAACGTTCCACCCCCCCATTGGTCCACAGTGCCATGGCACCGCGAGTGGGTAGCCAACAATAATGGCGCCACATGACGCCCGCGGAGTTATGAGGTTGTCGACATGAGATAGAAGACTACTCATCATGGAAATTGGTCCAGGCAAGAATAAAAAGCGAGTATCAGACGCGACCCAACCACCACAAGGCATACGGTAAGTGTGAAGAACATCAGATCAGAGTTACTCCGAGGAGGTTGACCACGAGGCTGCGCTAACTATAACTCGTTAGATAATGTATTACATAACCATTTCTGTTTCGTGCTCGGTGCGAAGCCTTGCACTACGGCCGTTGCACCGGCCGAGAAGATACATGCCAAGAGACGGAATACATGCAACTGAGCTTGGATCTCTGTTTCTCATGATGACGGGTGAGCCTGGCCGGGGGAGAGATCTATCCGTTTGGGTCGTCTCCATTTGTAGATGATTGGATCTACAAGCATCGTGGATGTGACGGTCAACGTAAGGCTTGCTCCTCTTTCAAGGCTGATACCTGCTGGGGGCCGATCGATGACCATCAGTCTAGAGAAAGAAGTAGACCAGGCAGCTTGCAGTGAAGGAAGTTGCTCCCTGTCATGCCTCACGTGGGAAAGCAACTTCATCAGATGGGTCGATTCCTCTGTCCCAAGCCTCGACCTTCATAGGAGGAGCGCCTTTGCCACTTGAAACTCTCTGGCTTCCAAATTAGTCCATGGTCAAGCAACTCGGCAGTGGAAGCTTGAGGAGGTTTATAGGCAGATAGTTACAAGACATTAACTAAAACATAAAGGGCTGGGCTATTGGATGCCCATGTGGAAACATGCATGCCAATGCTGAAGTGGCGACAGTAATACCTGAAGTGCAATATGGTTCCATCGGAACTAGTTGGCGGATCTAGACCGAACAAGCTCTGTTTAACCATGAAGATACAATAGTGAGAGAGGATGTCAGCTCGGTGACTGATGTCTACGACTTACATGTAGGCGAGTTCATGTGTGATGAGATCAGACACGCATACAAGGACAAGCGCAGCTGTTAGCGAGGGCAACATGGGGAGAGGCGAAAGTTGCTCATTGGCACCTATGGTACCTAGAACGCTCGGGCATCCCCCCGCCTGGTGATACCCCAAGCCCACTAATCTGCTAGCCCCAAACGAGCCAAGCCGCCGATAACATTAGTTAGGCTAGGCGCCGGTAGACAGGCTTGACAGGGAGGAGCATGTGCGTCAACGAAGGGTTGATCGTGGCGGATAGAGGCTCTTTAGTCATTGTCTTGGTCCTTGCCCACGATTGCTCTGCCATTGCCACATGCCCGCATAATCAAACTCTCAACCTCGCCGGATTTGCTGTTTTATCGCCCAGTTTTCTCTCGAGAATATTTCCCATCGTGAAGGGGACGAGATCAAGTCTGTGGACCGCGTCACCTAGCTACCGACCAGCTCTCCAGAACGTACTAGGACCCGGCCAAACAAGTACCTCCTTTACCCCTTCCAGAAGCGCGGTTTAATCCGTTAAAGCTCCGGCCAAAATGCCCCTAACTGTCCTCACCGATAACGATGTCAGGGAATTGCTGTATACATTGACCAAAGAGGATATCGACGAACTCCAATCTAATCTCGCAGAAGCCCTGCACTCATACTCCACGGGTGATACCAATTCACCTTGTTGCGCATCTTTTCAACCACAGCGGACAATCATCAAGAAGAATGGGGTCACCACGCTATTCATGCCCGCATCCACGGGCAACTCGGTGGGAATGAAGATCGTGTCGCTTCAGCAACCCGAGGTACCCCCTCACAGCAAGTCATCAGTCTCGTCAGGAAACTCCGAAAGCCACAATGGCACCCCTTCGGGCAGTATGTCGTCGTCTGCCTCGGTCAAGTCTACTACCAACGATTTTGCGTCCATGACCTTGACTCCATCATCCACCATGTCGTCTAGCAGGGACTCAGTTGACGGCTCTTCGTTCCAACCACCTGCCTCAATCGCTAGCTCTCGAAGCACCACACCAAAAGGATCTATCACCCTGCTCGACTCCAACGGAAACCCCATGGGTATCGTTAATGCCGAAGAACTCACGGCTTTCAGAACAGCATTGTCTTCCACCCTGATGCTTAAGAAGCGAGAGAATGTCCACACTGTGACTGTCTTTGGTGCAGGAAAGCAGGCATACTGGCACATCAGACTGGCACTGATACTAAAGGGGGACCAAATCCGGCATGTCAACATCATCAACCGCAGCTTCGAAAGGTCCATCAAATTGATGAAAGCATTTCAAATGACACAGGACTTCAACGACCAGTGGCGCAAAGACATCAAGTTCTCGGCCATGAGTCCAGAGTTTGGTGAATATGGCCGACTATTGAAGGAGGAAGTTCGCAAAGCAGATGTCATTTTCTGCTGCACGCCATCTGTCGAGCCTCTATTTCCGGCCGAGTTCCTGACGTCGCGTGAAGGACGAAGGAAAGGTAGGTATATCGTGGCCATTGGCTCGTATGCCCCACACATGTGCGAGCTCCATCCCGACATCTTCAAAGTTGCTGTGGAACCAGAGCATGGGGGCCATCACCATCACCGGCATGCTAGACAAGGGGGAGTAGTGATCGTGGACAGCCTCGAGTCATGCTTGAAAGAGTCCGGCGAGATTGTCAAAGCAAAGCTGAAACCTGAGCATTTGGTTGAGATCGGCGAGCTCATGATGATCAAGAAGGCTGCGACAAGAGAGATTGAACTCGGCGGGCCAGGCGAACAAGGCCTCCTTGACTGGCTGACCAAGGGCAATGTCATCTACAAGAGCGTGGGTATGGGACTGTTGGATCTTGTGGTTGCTGGGGATCTCATACGAATGGGCAAGGAGAAAGATGTTGGCGTGACAATTGAGGATTTCTAGCTTGCCGTTTGAGCCGTCCGTGTGTTTGTGGTGGAAGCAGAGATACCGAGAACTTCCACTCCTTTTGCACTTTTTCTGCTGTCCAGTTTACCACGAGGATGTATTTCTGTCGGGCGGCACTTTGACTTTCATGTGGTTTTATTCTTGCAGCGCTCAACTCCAGGACGCAAGAATTGTATGTGATCCGAATGGCGGCAGTGTAGATAGATCAATATAACGCAGCAGTTCGAGCGAATGTAAGATATTGTTCTCTTGTCACGGGTACTGTCCTTCGCACTTACTCTTCAGCCTCTACCTCATCATCGTACTCGAAGACTTCCCTTTCACCTTGCTCCACCCTCTTAATCCTTGGCTTTGTCTCCATCCTTGCACCGCTCCCAAATGTCGATCCTCAGTTCTCCCTAGGTGTGAAGATTAGGGATTGCATTCACGCCAACTGCGGTCATTAGTCCCTCACCAATATCGGAGAAAAGCCGCGAACAGAAGTAACATATTGTCCATCACGACCAGTGTATCTCGAGTCGAATCAAAGAAAGATCACTCAGCTAGAGGGTCAAGCCAACATTGTGCAGAGTTGCTGGATGTCAGTGTCCCACGGCGAGCACGCTCACTAGAAAATTGTCGGCTTACCGATCCCTCAAGCCCTTTCCTTCTTGCCGGCCCTTGTCGATCCGCCCCGCCTCCTCCAGAGAAGCTTGGTCGCCCCTCGCTGTCTGCCCCTCCCTCTGCTCTGGGTACTCCTATCACTGGCAAAGTGTCAGCCCAACCAAGCGAAGCTAGCGACAGCCGATTCGAGGGTGGGGTGACCACAGTGGGCATTGTTCCTGAACAACAAAGACACACCTCCCAACGTCATTTTGCCCCTTCGAAGGCAATGGGCTCGTGTCCACATTTTGGAGAATGAAAAGTTGAATCGACTTGGCCATCGACAGGCGAAATCCTGGTCGGGTGAAGCAGAGTCTGCAAAATTCGTGAAACGGTGGCGGTCTCTTCCGATCAGCAATCAAGAGAGTACGGCTTGCAGCTCAGTTGGACTGAGATCGGCAAAACAGACGTGGATGAATCCACAAATGTGGTTTTCGACACGAGCCCTCACATCAGTTCTTTCAAGTCTTCGTC